GGAAAGAGAATTAGGAGGAAAGTCAGTAAACGAAATAATGGACTACGTAACATCAAAATGCAAGAAGCCAGAGGAAAGGTTTGTTCCCAAGAGCAACAGAAATAATGGGAAGACAAGAACGAGCCCTTGGTTTACCCAAAGGTGTAGGGAGGCAAAAACTAAGTGCACCAGAGAATGGAAAAAGGACAGATGACAAAGAACGCAGGAAATTAAAGAGATCAGTCGAAGAGCCAGAATCGAGTATGCACAGATAAGGAGGGAGGCCCAGCGACAGTACGAAAACGACATAGCATCGAAAGTCAAATCTGACCTGAAGCTGTTGAGACAGAAAGGTCTCCGGGAGGTCAGAACAGATTGGTCCACCAACAAGGGATATACCAACAAGTGTTGGATGAAATACACACAACCAAGGAGGAGGTGAAGAAGCTGCTAAGTGACTTTTAAACCTCAAAGGCAGTGGGACAGGACATCTCTCTGTGGGTCCTTAGAGACGATATGTGTGCCACTAACCACAATTTCTAACACATCCATTGAAACCGGGAAACTACCTGCGGTATGGAAGACAACAAACGTAGTCCCCATTTTTAAGAAAGGAGACAGAAACGATGCTCTAAACTATAGACCAGTGTCACTGACATGTACAGTATGCAAAGTCATGGAGAAGATTATCAGGAGGAGAGTGGTGGAGCACCTGGAACGAAACAAGTTTATAAACGACAACCAGCACAGATCCATGAAAGGTAAATCCTGTGTCACAAACCTACTGGAGTTTTATGACAAGGCAACGGAAGTAAGACAAGACAAAGAGAGAGAGAGGGATGGGTAGATTGCATTTTTTGGACTGCAAGAAGGCCCTCAACACAATTCCTCACAGGAGATTAGCGCAAAAGCTAATGGATCAGGCACGCATAACAGGAAAGGCACTGCAATGGATCAGAGAATATATGACAGGGAGGCAACAACGAGTCATGGTACATGATGAGGTATCACACTGGGCGCCTGTGACGAGTGGGATTCCACAGTAGTCAATCCTAGGACCAGTGCTATTTTTGGTATATGTGAATGACATGATGGAAGGGATAAACTCAAAAGTGTCCCTGTTTGCAGATGATGTGAAGTTAATGAGGAGAATTAAATGAGATTAGAAAGGATTACAAAGAGACCTGGACAGGCTGGAAACTTGGCCTAGCAACTGGCTCCTCGAATTTAATCCCACCAAATGCAAAGTCATGAAGATCGGGGAAGGGCAAAGAAGACCACAGACATAGTATAGGTTAGGCGGCCAAAGACTGCAAACCTCACTCAAGGAGAAAGATCTTGGGGTAAGTATAATACCGAGCACATCTTCTGAGGCACACATCAACCAGATAACTGCTACAGCATATGGGCACCTGGCAAACCTAAGAATAGCATTCTGATACCTCAGTAAGGAATCGTTCAAAATTCTATAAACCGTGTACATCAGGCCCATACTGGAGTATGCAGCACCAGTTTGCAACCCACACCTGGTCAAACACGTCAAGAAATTAGAGAAAGTGCAAAGGTTTGCATCAAGGCTAGTTCCGGAGATCAGGGGAATGCCCTACGAAGAAAAGGTAAGGGAAATCTGCCTGACGACAATGGAGGACAGGAGGGTTAGGGGAGACGTGATAACGACATACAAAATACTGCGAGGAATTGACAAGGTTGACAAAGACAGGATGTTCCAGAGATGGGACACAGAAACAAGGGGTCACAGTTGGAAGTTGAAGACTCAGATGAGTAAGAGAGATGTTAGGAAGTACTTCTTTAGTCACAGAGTTGTCAGGAAGCGGAACAGTCAGGCAAGTGATGTGGTGGAGGCGAGAATCATACATAGTTTTAAGACGAGGTATGATAAAGCTTACGGAGCAGAAAGAGAGAGAGAACCTAGTAGCGACCAGTGAAGAGGCGGGGCCAGCAGCTATGCCTCGACCCCTGCAATCACAAATAGGTGAACACACACATACACACACACACACACACACATATATATATATATATATATATATATATATATATATATATATATATATATATATAATATATATATATATATATATATATATATATATATATATATATAAAAATACAATAATAGTAGTAGTAGTGGATGTAATAGCAATAACAGTAATGGTATATACACCGAGAGGTGTATCTCAGTGTATATACAAATAAGTTAAGCAATTACTTTAATCTTTATTTTAGGGTTTAAAGTATTCTTGTCAGGGGGTGAAAAAATTTACTTGATGCTTTAATGACCCTCGCACAGCCCACAGGCTTTAAATCTGATAAACTAACCAAGCAGAAGCGTTAATAATTTCATTAATAGTAGGGATAATAATAATTATGACTTACATTGTGGCAGGAGGAGCAGCACGAGGATGGAGAGGCCACAGAGCACGAAGACAATAACGAGAGGGATCTTCCTCCCGAAGTTGGTGACGAAGGGCAGAATGAGGGTAGAGGAGGGCAGCTCGACCAGCCCTCCCAGGAACATGTAGAGGAAGGGATCAACGCTGGAAGAAAAACCCATTACATTCAATTATATCCTCCCCGTGGGGAGGATATAATTGCAGTGATTTCTATATCACTGACAATATATTTAAAGTTATAGATATCATAGCGAAATATGACCGATTTTTTTATTATTGCCACTTTAATTTCGTTTATAATATTACAATATCAATACTTGTGGGATTTTTCTAATGCTATAATATTCATCTTTCTGGCTATGGGTACTGTTGGTGCTGGTCACTTCCGGTATCCTCTCCTTTCTCCCTCCCTCACTCCAGTAAAGACGGTCCTCTGGGAACGTTATTTGCTGGAGGCTCTCCTGTTTTCTGCAATTTTGCAAGCTCCTTATGATGTGTGGATTGCAACACGAAAGGCCTACAGCTATCATTCTACTTCACCCGTGGTTGTTTTGCACATATATATTTATTTTCAACATGTCGGCCGTCTCCCACCGAAGCAGGATGACCCAAAAAGAAAGAAAATCGCCAAAATTAAAATACTTTCATCATCATTCAACACTTACACCTCACTCACACATAATCACTGTCTTTGCAGAGGCGCCCAGATGCAACAGTTCAGAAGCATATATAAAGATATATAACATACCCCTCAAAACTGCCAGTATCCTAAACCCCTCCTTCCCACTTCCAGTACTCAAGTCCGGCTATATAAAAATAATCGGTTTTCCTGAATCCCTTCACTAAATATTACTCTGCTCACACTCCAACAGCTCGTCAAGTCCCAAAAACCATTCGTCTCCATTCACTCCTATCCAACACGCTCACACATGCCTGTGGAAGTCCAAGCCCCTCTCGACCACAAAACCTCCTTTACCCCCTCCCTCGATCGTTTTCGAGGACGGCACCTACCCTGCCTTCCTTCCCCTACAGATTTATACGCTCTCCAATTCATTGTACTTTGATCCATTCTCTCTAAATGACCAAACCACCTCAACAACCCCTCTTCAGCCCTCTGACTAATACTTTTAGTAATGCCACACCTCCTCCTAATTTCCACACTCCGAATTCTCTGCATAATATTTATACCACACATTGCCCTTAAACAAGACATCTCCACTGCCTCCAACCGCCTCCTTGCTGCAGCATTTGCAACCCAAGCTTCACACCCATATAAGAGTGTTGGTACCATTATACAGTACTTTCGTACATTCCCTTCTTTGCCTCCATGGATAACGTTTTTTGTCTCCACAGATACCTCAACACACCACTCACCTTTTTTCCCTTCATCAATTCTATGGTTAATCTCATCCTTCATAAACCCATCCATTGACAAGTCAACTCCTAAATATCTGAAAACATTCACTTTTTCCATATTCCCTCTCTCCAGTGTGATATCCAATTTTTCTTTATCTAAATCATTTGATACCCTCATCACCTTACTCTTATCTATGTTCACTTTCAACTTTCTACCTTTACACACCCTCCCAAACTCGTAAACTAACCTTTGTGTGGAAAATTACATTTATCTGGATGTAACTCCTAATGTACATACCAGTAAATGATAACAAAGATAATTATTATTTATCAAAGTTACACAGACAAGTAGGAATTTGGGACACCTAGGTCACAAAAATGTCCCCCTTCGATGCCTACAACTGTCATGTCCACAAGTTGCTCTAGACCTATAATTACAAATGAAATGTACATACACACCAGGAATTCTGGTAAATATAAAAATTGGCGTACTGTATATTAAAATTAATGATACTTATACACATTTATATAACAGAAGGAGAATATATCTTAATATCACTCACCAATTTGACTGGAGATTAATGTGTATCATACTAGAAAACCTCACTGTCTATACATGAAAATAACACTGGCCAGAGTTACAACATAACAGACTTATCTGAGGTTCCTGGAGCTGTCTTGTCCAGTCGCCTGATATCTCAAGTTATGCAGGAATGCACATCCAACAATTTCGGCTCCTATTTGAGAGGAGTCAGCGCAATTTAACCTCTAGAGCACGAAAATTCTTCCGATTATTCATTAACGTTTGTGTTGACTAGTTCAAACATGGTGAGTCTCTTCTGCGCAGGCGCAGAATTTCCCATTTTTTATAACATAAATTTTATTAAATACAATGTATTACACTAATTTACATAAAAAATACACTGTATTTTTTCCGGAAAATACATTGTTTTCCACACTTTGCAACTTTTCTTAAGAATCTCCCATAAGCACAGTATCATCAGCAAAAAGTAACTGTGTCAACTCCCATTTTGTATTTGATTCCCCATAATTTAATCCCACTCCTCTCCCCAACACTCTAGTATTCACTTCATTTACAACCCCATCTATAAGTATATTAAACAACCATGGTGACATTACACATCCATGTCTAAGACCTACTTTTACCGGGAAGTAATCTTCCTCTCTTCTACACACCCTAACCTGAGCCTCACTGTCCTCATAAAAACTCTTTACAACATTTAGTAACTTACCACCTATTCCAGATACTTGCAACATCTGCCACATTGGTCCTCTATCCACTCTATCATAAGCCTTTTCTTAATCCATAAATGCAATGAAAACTTCCCTACCTTCATATAAATACTGTTCACACATATGCTTCAATGAAAACACTTGATCTACACATTCCCTATCCACTCTAAAGCCTCCTTTCTTATCTGCAACCCTACTCTCTGTCTTACCTCTAATTCTTTCAATAATAACTCTACCATACACTTTTCCTGGTATACTCAGTAAACTTATTCCCCTCTAATTTTCACAATCTCTTTTGTCCCCTTCCTTTTATATAAAGGGACTATACATGCTTCTCTACCAATCCCTAGGTACCTCCACCTCTTTCATACATTTATTAAACAAAAATACCAACCACTCCAACACTATATCCCCCCCTGCTTTTAACAGTTCTGTCATGATCCCGTCAGTTCCAGTTGCTTCACCCCCTTTCATTCTACATAATGACTCACGCACCTCCCCCACACTCACATCCTGCTCTTTTTCACTCCTAAAAGATGATATACCTCCCTGGCCAGTGCATGAAATTACCGCCTCCCTTTCTTCATCGACATTTAAAAAGTTCCTCAAAATATTCCCACCATGTACCCAATACCTCCAATTCCCCATCTACTAACTCCCCTACTCTGTTTTTAACTGATAAATCCATTCGTTCCCTAGGCTTTCTTGCTTATCTCGGTCCAAATTTTTCTTATTTTCCTCAAAATTTCTTGACAGTGCCTCTCCCACTCTATCATCTGCTCTCCTTTTGCACTCTCTCACCACTCTCTTCACCTTTCTTTTACTCTCCATATACTCTGCTCTTCTTATAACACTTCTGTTTTGTAAAAACTTCTCATAAGGTACTTTTTTCTCTTTTATCACACCCTTTACTGCATCATTCCACCAATCACTCCTCTTTCCTCCTGCCCCCACCCTCCTATAACCACAAACTTCTGCCCCACATTCTAATACTGCATTTTTAAAACTATCCCAACCCTCGTCAACCTATCCCTCCCCCCACTACTCATACTTGCACCAGCCCACCTTTCTGCCAATAGTTGCTTATATCTCACCCTAACTTCCTCCTCTCTTAGTTTATACACTTTCACCTCTCTCTTACTTGCTGTTGCCATTTTCCTTTTGTCCCATCTACCTCTTACTCTAACTGTAGCTACAACTAAATAATGATCCAATATATCAGTTGCCCCTCTATAAACATGTACATCCTGGAGTCTACCCATTAACCTTTTTTCCACTAATACATAATCTGACAAACTACTTTCATTACGTGCTATATCATACCTTTTATATTTATTTATCCATTTTTTCATAAAATATGTATTACTTATTACCAAACCTCTTTCTACACAAAGCTCAATTAAAGGCTCCCCATTTTCATTTACCCCTGGCACCCCAGATTTACCTACTACTCCCTCTACAACATTTTTACCCACTTTAGTATTGAGATCCCCAACCACAAGTACTCTCTCTCACTTGGTTCCAAACTCCCCACGCACTCAGTCAACAGTTCCCAATATCCCTCTCTCTCTCCTCCACACTTCTCTCTTCTACAGGTGCATAAAAGTTTACTATAACCTACCCTACTTTTCACATTCAACCGTTATTATACTCGCATAATCCTTGAATTTATACATTTATATTCCTTCTTTTCCTTCAATAACTTATGCTTCAACATTATTGCTACTCCTTCTTTAGCTCTAACTCTATTTGAAACCCCTGACCAAATCCCACTTATTTCTCCCCACTGAAACTCTCCCACCCCGTTCAGGTTTGTTTCACTTAAAGCCAGGACATCCAGCTTCTTCTTATTCACAACGTCCATAATCATCTCTTTCTTATCATTCGCACAACATCCACACACATTTAGACTTCCCACTTTGACGGTCTTCTTCTTTTTCTTTTTAGTAGGTTATACATGAAAAGGGGTTACTAGCCCATTGCTCCCGGCATTTTAGTTGACTTTTACAATGGGGAGGAAAGATTGTTTTTCTGCTTCTCCATGGATGTGAAAGGAAAAGCAATAAGAACAAGAACTATTAAGATAAAATCAATGAAAACTCAGAATAGTGTGTATACATAAACGTTTACATGGATGTGTAGTGTAACCTAAGTGTAAGTAGAAGTGGCAAGACGTACCAGAAATCCTACTATCATGTAAAACATTTACAGGCTTTCATTTTACACTTACTTGGCAGGACGGTAGTACCTCCCTGGGTGGTTGCTGTCTACCAACTTACTACCTTATATATATATATATATATATATATATATATATATATATATATATATATATATATATATATATATATACATATATATATTATATATTCACAGGCAGAGTCCCTGGCCAAGCCTGATGTCACGTAACTTCCTCTTGTACATAGGCCATAGCTCACAGACCTCTGCCAGAGACGGGCAGACGGGACAGGCTGAGTTCTTACACGTTTACCAGATACAACATCTCCATAACAGTCAACGGCTGTTTCCTTGCTGCCTTCCCTCATCTAAGAACTCGTCTAATACCTCAAGCACTGTATAGCCACTACAGGTTTAGTGCTTCCCCACGAACATGATAATATTATTCTGACTAAAGGTAATAAGTAGAGGAAAGGGAGGGAAACTCCATACCATCATATTAAGAACTCTTCTCCAGCATCAAAGCACACCCTCTCCCCTTCGTCCTTGAGAAGATGTCATGTTTTTAGCTTCATAAAATGCCTAAACATTATTTACCGGAGTGGGAAGTGTTGAGAGTAATGCAGTTGACTGAGGCTTATATTTTCTAGTACACATAAAATGCGTTATAAAGGAATAACAAGAAAAGTTGGTAGATGGATCTATAACTTCCTGACAAAAAGAACACAAAGAGTAATAGTAAACAGAGTAAAGTCTGAGGCAGCTACGGTGAAAAGCTCTGTTCCACAAGGCACAGTCTCGCTCCCATTCCATTCCTTATCCTCATATCTGATATAGACAGAGATGTAAGCCATAGCTCCGTGTCTTCCTTTGTGGATGACACCCGAATTGCCATGACAATGACCTCCATCGAAGACACCGCAAGACTCCAAACGGACATCAGCCAAATCGTCAAATGGGCCACTCAAAACAATATGAAGTTCAATGAAGAGAAATTTCAACTAAGATATGGAAAAACTTGAGGAAATTAAAACTGTATCAGGATATACGACAAATTCTAACCATACAATAGAGCGAAAAAGTAATGTGAAGGACCTGGGAGTGATAATGTCAGAGGATCTCTCCTTCAAAGACCACAACAGTCTATCTACTGCATCTGCTAGGAAAATGATAGGATGGCTAATGAGAACCTTCAAAACTAGGGACTCCAAGCGCATGATGATTCTCTTCAAATCGCTTGTTCTCTCTAGGCTGGGATACTGATGTACACTAACTGCCCCCTTCAAGGCAGGCGAAATTGCTGCCCTGGAGAGTGTACGAAGAACTTTCACGGTACACATGAGTAAGATAAGACACCTAAATTACTGGGAACGGTTGAAGGCTCTTGCTTTGTATTCCCTGGAACGCAGGTGAGAGAGATACATGATAATATACAAGTACACTGAAAGACAACACAATAAGTGTCCGGAGCCCAAGACTGTTCAACTGCCTCCCAGCACACATAAAGGGAATTACCAACAGACCACTGGCTGTCTTCAAGAAGGCACTGGCCAGGCACCTAAAGTCAGTACCTGACCAGCAGGGCTGTGGTTTGTATGCCAGTTTGCATGCAGTCAGCAGTAACAGCCTGGTTGATCAGACCCTGATCCACCACGAAGCTTTGTCTCAGACCGGGCAGCGAGGTCGTTGACCCCCGAAACCTTCTCCAGGTATACATGCCACTTTCGTAGTTAACAGCAGAGAGTACAACTCCATTTTTTACCCTTTCTTCCTTCTCCTTTACCCCCCCCTCCCCTCCTCACCTGAAGTTGGCGGAGTTGAGGGAGATGCCATAGTAGACCATGGTGCAAGTCAGCCAGTTGAAGTAGAGGACGAGGGAGATCCTCCTGAGCATGGGCGTCCTCACGAACACTAGAAGATGGCTGCCTATTCTCCTGTACCAGGCCAGGCAGGAGACGCTGCTGGCTTCCCCGCTGGTAGTCTTCTGCTTCTGCAGAAGGTTGCTGGCGTCCCTGCGCTCATTCTGAAGAGCGTGGATTGGTATCATCGTTACCATCAATATCATCAACGTAATGTGAATACAACTGCTACTACAAAAAAAAAGAAAAAAAAATCCGTACGGCTGGGTCGCTGTGTTCTCCAGTCTCGTCTCAGTCATAGGGTTAAGTCCCTTACGAAGGATCGATCCTCCGTGTTTCCAACTTATAATAATAATAATAATAATAATAATAATAATAATAATAATAATAATAATAATAATAAACTTATATAACCACTACGATTTATTTCACTGTTTGTTAGGATAAGTTAAACTTGTCTTGATAACTGTGAAGACAGAGCTGTGTGAAAGCTGCACAATTCACAGGCTAAAGAGGTTTTGCCTGAGCGCAATATCCTCGCGTATAAATGAAATTACGTTCCGTTTGTGGAAATCCGCGATAATTGTTTCTGTCAACACTCGACTTGAGCTGCCTGGGGCTTCATGGGTAGTATGAGGCGTAACGCAAATATTAATGTGTATCATATAATAGTGTAACAGAGAGAGAGAGAGTGGATCAGCATTATTCGAAACTACGTCAGGGAAGGCTGGCAAGGTTCCTCACCCGGCCACAGATACATCGAATGCTTGGCAGACTAGTTTACAAGCCATGTTTATTCCCGAGCCCGGACACGCCATATAAAAAATCGCTTGTTAGATTAGAACATACAAGAGAATGAAATAGCTTCGAACAAGGCTAGAGGCTCACTAGTGTGCCCGGGCTGGGAAAGAAACATGACTTGTAAACAACACTGCTCAGCTTCTGAGGCATCTGTGTGGT